TATATGTTGCATAACACATGCACACCTTCTCATTGTGATATCTCGCTCATATACATAATATAATCTGTGTACTATGTACTTACAGATAGGATATATGGTGCATGGCACATGCACACCTTCTCATTGTGATATCACGCTCATATACATAATATAATCTATGTGTACTATGTACTTACAGATAGGATATATGTTGCTTAACACATGGATACCTTCTCATTGTGATATCTCGCTTATTCCTGTTAAATAATCCTAATGCACTATATACATATTTTTTAGATACATATTTTTAGGATGACATCCCACTCATACACCATGATGTACGTATTCAGCGGGTAGTTAAGTTGTTCAATAATCACTTCTGGTAGGTCACAAATTGACCCTTACAGATGCATAGAATACCAACAATTTTAAATTATATTCTGAACACAGCTTGAAACACTCAATCGAAAACATACCCTGGACTACTGCATAATAATACTTACACAACATCTGCTTGCAATGAATAATGCTGACATAAGCAATATACAAATGTCAACTTAATCATAAAAAAATAATGATCAATTGTTACTGAAAACAGATGACTGCAACATAATTGGATTGAGCAGAACAGTACACCATCATAATATATTGTCTGAATAAACCGTTTTATGCTTCTTTGCCTGGAATATAATAATCATACAAACATCCCATACTTAGAATGTCAATGTTGATTGAAAATGTTTCATCACTTGCTACAAAATAATATACTGTCCAGCTGGGCAGTCCTAAATAACATACTTCGTACCAATTATTTACACAAAATGTACACATGGCTAAAACTGGGTTATTATATAAAGTTAATTCAACTTGCATGTCGAATGTTGAAATGAAAACCAGTTACACTAAAGAAAACCAGGCTGCATCTTTGTCACATAAACTTACCAAAGGGGCAGGAATGCTGACATCATATTAGGTAGCACTCTTAAAAGATAAGTTCCACTGATGCATCAGGGGTGGAAATAACTTTAAAATTGCTAGTGTACTCCGGTACAGTGGCACATGTAAAATCACTTGCCCTGATCATTTTTCCACTATACCGGCCGCTTTCTTGTTGGTTTTTTAAAATAAACAACATTATTAACATTGGAAAGTCAACTGGACACCGGTACAGCGTGATATACAAATTTGCTTGCCCGACAGAAAAAAACACTGGACTTGGACGTTGGGCAATGGGTTATTTCCACCCCTGTGCATGTTTCTTGCCTTATAAAGCAATAAGAATGCATATATTTCTCCTACATCAAAATCAAAGATCTGCAGCAGTCCCATGACCTACATTCTGTAATCATCAAAAAGAAACTGCTTATTCGCTTTTTCAAACGAAGTTTTAATAACAAGAAAATGAAAACATATCCTCTCACAATTCCAACATGTCTACTGGGACGGTCATCAACAATCTGTTGTTGCTGTCTTGACACATCCCATTATAAACATCTTATTCCATGGAATCAGGATATCAGCTTGTTTGGGTCCTCGCCAGACAGTGACAGAGTTAACAGTTTTAGACCTTCATGGCCCAAGGTGGAACTTGCCTTGGTTGACCATCAAACACTGATCCATAATTTTTGTTGCAAAGGTCAGCAAACAGCGTCAGCACAGTCATGCTATTATAATTATAATCACTATTTGAACTTTCGTTGTGGGTGAAGGGGTTTTATACCATGGTGAACAAATGACTGCGACAATTAAGAAACACAAGGATTGATGCAGAAATCAGTCACTCAAATACATACATAAACTCAATTCTAGAGACTAATTAACTTTGATTATCTGCCAAATCAGATTTCACTGGGTGTAACAGGCAAAACTTGTACAAAGAAATGGATCACTGATAACCTGTCTTGACACCAAGTATACTCAAAAAGTGATATGCATGTACAGCCCTTCGGACCCATACACCAGTCACACAACTTGCATAAATAGTTTGAAAAAGTCAATTCAAGTCACAAGATTTAGTCATATCAGTTTTGATCACGTTATCCAATGCCTTGTCGGGAAAAACCAATCCAGTGTATCCATGAACCTGTCAGATTATCACTGAAATCCTACAGCGTTATAAGTTACCACTTTCCCATTGCACCTAGCCACATGCATGTGATAACCACTATCTGGGCTATACAGTTGCTTATACCCTGCCCCTGCTGCTCATCTTCTTCCTCCTCCTCCTGCAGGAACATCTCTGTGAATCTCAATGGATTTATGTTTGACTATATAGGTCAAATACATACTTAAGACAAGTTCCAGACATCAATCATAACCGGTTGAGTAACGTGTAAGCTGATACATGTTTATGTTTTTTCTCCCATGTCTGTGCCATATCACTATGATGATAAGATGCCAATACCTTCTTTTAGCAATTTATGTTTTGCTTTCCAGCAAACACCGTTAGATATGTGTCTATTGGAATTCCAAAGGCACCAGTAAGTTCAAAGCATAAAGATAAAACACATCACTGGATGTTCCTATGTGAAGACTGTAGAAGACTATAAGAGCATCTTCAACAACAAACACAGTAATTACTGTGGGACCTTCCAAGAAAGGGCCATGAACTCTGCAGTAAAAGCCCATTATATCCCTCTATGGTGGGGGATCTAACGATCCCTTCTAGCCAGGTTGATATCACTTGTAGCCAGTCATTTGGAATAACAACATACTCATCTTTCGGCATACAACATATGACAAATCAGGTCCTACTTCACCATGCTATATATTGATATTGATGTATCATATCCCATGAGCATTTACCACAGAAAGAAGCATGGTTCAATCATATCCATCTGTATGGTGAGCCATGAATAGCATATGTGGTCTGTACAAATGACAGGTATGGTGCTACATGTGCAGTTAAATGTTTACACTGAACTGCACATGACAATTTTCACATTCATACAGTGTTGCATGATGATAAATCACTCTTTCTTAAAATGCAGGGGTGGAAATAACTTTAAAATTGATAGTGTACTCCGGTACAGTGGCACATGTAAAATCACTTGCCCTGATAATTTTTCCACTATAAGGGCCGTTTTCTTGTTGATTTTTTAAAATAAACAACATAATTAATATTGAAAAGTCAACTGGACACCGGTACATTGTGATATACAAATTTGCTTGCCCGACAGAAAAAAACACTGGACTCCGGCGTCAGGCAATGGGTTATTTCCACCCCTGAAATGTTGCTGGGCATTATAATAAATTATACAGTGGCACTGCACCATTATAAATTGCACTGGGTACAATTTGGCACTGCATCATCACAATGTTGCAGTGCACATGGCAATATGTACTTGTATACAATGTGGCACTACACCATGATACTTATCACTTGAGCAATAACAAAATGTTGAAGTTGCAATAATTTATCACAACCATGATTACAAAGCTTGGGTACCTAGCAGCTTCACTTATCTGGTGCAGTATGTACCATGAATGATTAATGCTATCACATGCATCCACCACATTAAACACAAATCATGAATGCTGCAAAGGTCAAAACATAATACTTGCATTTTACTTAAAGTTTAACTGTATTAAATACTAATACCAATTTTGATTTTCTTCACAGTATCACAAAAATGTCAGGGTTGAAAATATGGGATATGGTTCGAAAAGCACAAGTATTGTTTTGTACTAACCCATATAAACATAAACTATGCATGGACTTTGCCGTGGCTATCGCCGACCCTGCATATTGCAATGCAGGATAATGAGCGTCACACACATGCATGAAAACTCACTTATATGGAATCCTGATGCCAGCATTAGTGGCCAGAACGTGGTCCAGTGTAAACAAGAGAGAATAAGGCATGGAGCAAGACCTGACTGCAGAGATTAGCAGGGCTGTTCAGGCTGGAAGCTATATATCAGGGTGCACATTGGCATAAATATTTGAACAAGAAGGTGGTTGTTTGTCAATGCTGTGGTGTGGGAGGGGAACGGCATCCATTTCCATGTGGTGGGTCTGAGACGAGTCAGACATCTCTGTTAGGGGAGTGGAAAGGTGGGTGAAACATGTTAGTTGGGGGTCACAGTAAGGGTGGATACTTAGTGGCTGATGGTGAAAAAGGTGTTACTTTGAGGCTGATGGTGAAAATGGTGGATATTTTGTTGTCAATAGTAAAAAAAGGGTAGTGTTTGGATTTGGTTGAAACATCATAACTTATGACGGGTTCATTACAACTACCAGTCATTGAAAAAAATTGGTTTGCTTCATTTGTTATTTTTTTCTGTTAAAGTAATTAATGCAGATTTTAAAAATTGAACAAATTTCACATCCATAAATGGATGGGTAATATATCATAAACATAAACTTCCTAGAGTCTTTAAAATAATTCTGTCATGACGGCATGATTCATATCTAATCTTTTTGGACAGTTTTGTTTCTTGTCTTGTCAGTTTGTTGTTTGGAGTCCAAAATGTTCTCAAACCTAGGATAGTTAGTTTTGGGGAGGATGACTGTGTGTACTGTCTCCATTATCTTTGCCAGTTACTCTCAAACAGAACTAATATGTGAAATGAAACAGAACTAAAACCTCCTTCAGTCTAAATATGTTGTTTGTAAAACGGTGAAACGGTACACTCTTACCGCGGTACGGTACGTATTGTGGTACAAGGCCCTTGGTTCGGTCTGTTTCGGTTCGGTATATAAGATATGATCATGAAATGGTGAAAGGGAAACAGGGTTGATACTATGTGGTTGATGGGTAGAGGATATGTTTATCATCAACGGACGCACAAAAGGAGAGTGTATGACTGGAAGAGTCATTCCTTCGGTTCTTGGACACTAAACATAACTGTAAAAACAAACAAGCACATACATACATGCACACAGCATTACTAAGTGGTTGTGGATATTGACAGATCAGGATGTGGATATTGACAGATCAGGCTGTGGATCAGCATGTTCCGAACCCACACACACCTGAATGCTGGCATCACCAGGCAAATGAAGGGCTGTGACCTACCTCTTCATAAAACTTGAGCTGGGGAACTGGGTCTTCACACATATTGTTGCAGAAATCCTTGAATAGCAAGAATCCTGGAAGAACAAAACAGACATTCTTAACATAAGTCACCTTCTATTCATAGGGGAGCTTCATAGTCACATACATGTACAGACTTAACCAACCAGTTTCAACTGTATCCTTCAAAAAATATCTCGGACTGAAGATATTGAGAAAAATACCAAATCCCTTGTACATGTGCCAGAATTGTAGCATTCCTTCATACTACTGTACAACAGTAGTGTCTTGGCTGAAAAAGAAATGTATCATCTTTTCATGGTTAATGTATAACTAATATGACTGTTACGGCAGTTAAGCTGTTTTGGCTGCAATTGTGGCTTTCTGGATGCAGATATGTGTGGAAGATTTACCTGAATCGATGCATTTCCAAGCCAAGGTGATTCTCAGTCATAATTTCAAGGGTGGGGGTGTCCATGTGATGGACATATGGGACATGTGACTTGCTTTACTTGATGTCTGGAGAACTTAATGATGTCACATCACTGCACATGCTCAGAAACCTGAAGCCTACTCAGGGGTGGAAATAACTTTAAAATTGCTAGTGTACTACGGCACAGTGGCACATGTAAAATCACTTGCCCTGAAATTCTTCCACTATACAGGCCGATTTTCTTGTTGATTTTTTCAATAAACAACATAATTAACATTGGAAAGTCAACTGGACACCGGTACAGTATGATATACAAATTTGCTAGCCCGACAGAAAAAAACACTGGACTGGGGCGCCGGGGCAATGGGTTATTTCCACCCCTGCTATTGAACACTGGGGTCATAATGTTCGAATGGAGAATATCAACCACTGAAATTCTGAAGTGTACTTTCTTCTGGAATGTTACATATAACATGCAAGAATAAGAATACCAACCTAAGAGACCCTGAAGTTTGAGACATATGGAAATTTGAGCATATTACCTTCTGGATTAAGTCATATGTAACACGCAATTGACAATTTGGTTTGGTATTATTTGAGTTGTACAGCCTATGTTTTGTTTGTCTCCAGGAGTCTCAATGTCCTTTAATTCAATCACACGTCATGTGTACAGGGCTGCAAATACTGGCGTAATTTTTTTTTTTCCTTCCCTTATTTAAGAAGGCCGGTTTGACAGATCATCACTGACTCACAAGGTGAAATGACTGTCAAGGTGACAGTGAGGTGTTCTAACTTTCCCTGGGTAGATGGAACATGTTTACAATCTGTGTGTACTATATCAGCTTACACAATCTCTTTTATCTATCTTTTCGTACCTCATTGGCGCTCTGATTAATTCTTTCAGACATTGAGTATTTACTTGCCTGTTATCTTTCACTTTTTAAATGTCTATTTGGTTATATTTGAAACTGTTGAAAACATAATTGACTTCAATGCGCATGCGATTCCCTAAAATGTCACATGTCAATAAGCTCCTAACAGCAATACAAATTTAAGTCATAAGACAGAAATAGCACCTCTTTTTTTTTTCCTTATTCACTGCAGGCAAGTTTATGTAAACAATGTCTGCATTCAGTCATCAAATAAAGATCAGTACACTGGCAGTAAAGTCTACATTAGGTGACAATGCATAGTGTCGGTTTACTTAATTATTTAAACATTTTTCATATGTATTTGTACCAAGCAACTTGTAGTTTGGCTACACATACATATCAAGCACAAGTAAGCAGCTAATCTGAAACTCATGACAACAACCACACACTTATTACACATCTGGTCTGTGTTCTTGCCAACTTCACCACTGTTTTCTACCCACCAACTGAATGTTTCCTCTAGATATGTTTTTCTGATCTAGATTTCAACTTCTTTTTTAAGGAAATTAGCCTCCAACTGATAACATACTCTCTGTCTCTTGTTTCTTCTCAAATAAGAACAGCCCTAATGACATGGAAAGACGCCCACACTATGAACCATTGGTTTGCCTGTCTTACTGACATGTCACAACACTGACGTCATAATGTCTCTGCTGTAGAAAACTGAATGAGCATGTCCCTCCGCCATTCCATTTATGAATAACTGTCTGTGATAAGTTTTAATAGAAGTCTGACTGAATAGTCCGTTGCCAGTAATTGCAACATTTTCTTAAGCCCAAACCAAAGAAAATGTCTTTCCACCTAAGCTTGGAATAATGCGAACACAAATTTCAAAACGATAAAATTAGCACAGATCAACTCCATGGCTTGCCAGATAAGATCTCAGCACATTTTACATGAATTGTTTTCATAATTTATGCAGCTGCATAGCTGAGTCAGGCAGACTGTGCACAACCAGGGGTGGAAATAGCCCATTCCCTGACGTCCGAGTCCAGTGGGTTTTTTCTGTCGGGCAAGCAATTTGTATATCATACTGTACCGGTGTCCAGTTGACTTTCCAAAGTTAATTATTTTGTTTATGTTCAAAAATCAACAAGAAAGCGGCCGGAATAGTGGGAAAATTATCAGGGCAAGTGATTTTACATGTGCCACTGTTCCGGAGTACACTAGCAATTTTAAAGTTATTTCCACCCCTGACAACCTAAGCTGGTATCTTTATTGAAAGTCAAAAAGGAATGTTCTATCTAGTCCCTGAGTTGTTTGTTTATATAGAACACATCTTAGTGAATTCAGTGGGACACCAGAAATGGGATTCATACACTGTACACATGTGGGGAATCAAACCCGGGTCTTTGACTTAATGGATAAACACTTTAACCACAAGGCTACCCCACTGCAAGTACATGGCACACTTCCTGGTTAATTCATTGGTTGAGGTAACAATAAATTGTTACAAACTTCAACAAACTATTCCATCAACTCTGACTTGTATCCCTTGGATCGTAGTGATGATGGACAGTGGATCTTAAAATCAAAAGACATTAAAGTCACACTTGTCAATGACATTAACACTGGAAACTTCATACAAGGGTAACAAACACAAACATTACTCCAAGTGTTCTGATTGGATAAAGCCCATTCCAAAAGGAAGTGGGCAATTTACTCATCCTAAAGCAAAATATTAATCATACGGTAAATTTATCGCTCGAGGATTTTTCATCAGCGCCATCTCATAGTTCTACTTCTACGCCTGGTCATTTCCTGTGCTTCCCATGCTGGGAGTTCGGGGACATTTCATCCTCCACACTGAGTCAAATGGTTGATCCCCAGAGAAACGCCATTGATTGCAGCTTCATCATTACGATGTCAATACAAATCAGTTCAACAGGCACAGCATCAGCAGCAATGCTGCCCCAAATTAGTCCTGTCATTAGTGATAGGCATTTTCACCGTAGTCCAGTTAAGATGTAAAAATAACACTGTCTCTCTTATTGTGGTAGTCCAATATCTGGATCCACTAGCGTCAGGGTCTGATCGAAAGTATCTGCCTACTAATGGCAGACTGATATTGATTTTTCAATATCACAGCTTTTTTCTTTATTTCAATCTCAGCACTTTTAATTGAGTCTGACTTTTTCCCATGCAAATGTTCTGATAAATGTGTTTTGTCATCTTTGATAATTGCCTGATCTCAGAAGCACAATAAACGATCCCTGGTGAAGATCAGGGTTCTCTCCCAGAATGAGTGAGTGAGTGATGTGTGATGTGAAATTGGGTTTTACGTCGTGCTTGAGAATATTTTGGTCATATCACGACGTGCATGCGTGTGTATGTGTATGTGTGGCTGCTTGTACTAGTCCAGACTTAAGCTGGTTTTATAGTGCTAGCCCACTGAGATACCATGCCGCAGTGAAGCATGAATACCCCACTCACACACATTATACTGACTCCCAGCCGACCAGTCCTTGTTATACCCATTAATGCCGAGCGCCAGGCAGGGACCAACAAGTACCATATTTTAACGTCTTTTGGTATGACGCGGTCGGGGATCGAACCCGCAACCTTCCGCTCTCCGGGCGTCTGCTCTAACCACTACACCACGGAGGCGGTCCTGTTTGATTGTAATGGAATAAGATGACTGTATTGACACTATTGCTTTCCAACACCTTTCTGATGTACTAACATGTATATTGTGATCTAGTGGTTAGTGATCCAGCGAGCTTGAGGTGACGGGATCGAGCCCACCTGTGACCGGGTGTAAAAACCTTGGAGTCAACTTTGGAGACTCTTTCAGTGTTGTCACAACCCCTAGTGTACAGTACACAACCCTCTGCACTTAAAAGAACCCACGAATCCGTTGGTATATGACCAGATGGTGGCCACATGAACACGTGCAAACACCTAGTTGCAGGTACAGCAACGTGCAGTAAACCTGGACAAAGTACTGTGACTATGTGTCCCAGTCCACCCAGCTGTGAATGGGTACCTCGTGAGGGTGGGAAAGCCACACTAACTCAGTGCGCGTAGTGGCTGCAAGAGTTGTATGATCCCCAGGGAGTTGAGATTGATAATATGACGCGCCGTTGAGATTGACATCCGGTGATTGAGGGAAAAACTAAGCGCCTATGAGTAGCTGAGCTGGATATTGGCGCTGTACAAATGTATGTATGTATGTATGTATGTATGTATGTATGTATGTATGTATGTATGTATGTATGTATGTATGTATGTATGTATGTATGTATGTATGTATGTATGTGTATGTATGTATGTATTTCGAAAATCGGCAAACAGCTGTGCACATAAACAGGACACAAACAATACAGAGTGCAAAATGAAGATAAGTCTGCTTCAATTTGTTCAGATTGACATCATATTGAAACAAGTAATATTTGTTAGGCTATTTGTATAGTCTCAAGGAAGTCAGAAGTCGGCTTATAAATCCATGATACATGAGCTGATTTTAACCTGTACCAGTCCAGTTTGGACTGGGGGGAAAGTGCACCACGTTCTACAAACATGTGCATGAAGTCATAAACCTCGTATTGCTGAACTAATCATATCCAGTCAACATACTTGCCTTGTCAGAGAGTGCTGACAGGAACTCTCGCTGATATATGACCAGAAGTGCGTGGGCAGAATGTTATATCTAATAAGACACGTATTTATGGCTGATAATATGAATATTTTCATCTATCAAAATTTGTATAGA